TTTGGCGAGATAGCGTGGGGGGGATCGGAGTTAGAGGCAGGGAGGAGAAGGGGGGAAAGTTCTCGGGGGAGGCAAAAAAAAAAAAGTTTTTTCTCCTCCGCAAAAGGCGGGCAGGGCGCCCTAAGTCCAAGGACAATCCATGGAAGTGTTCGCTTCTTCACAAGTTGTGCAAACGATTTGTTAGTTCATGAGCCTAATTAGTGCGGGGATCACATAAACAGCTTCCTCCGAAGCCTGGTAAATGGCTTGATGATTGGTCGCTATTACTCGCCCTGAGGTGGAAGGGGGGAGACTCTTTAAAGTGCGTCAGAGGGAGGCGAGCGCCTGGGAACCCGGAGGCCTGGATCCGGGCCGAGAGTGGAACGGACTCGGCGCCGCTGTCTCGGTCGAGCCTCCTGCCGCCCGCCGGGCCTCCTGGCCTCTCCGCGCCTTCGCCCCGCGCTCCCAGCTCACTCGCTCCTGCGGCGCCCGCTGCGGCTTCTCCTCCTCCTCCTTCTTCGCCTCCTCCTCTTCCTCCGGTTTCTTCTTCTCCTCCTCCTCTTCTTCCTCCTCCTCCTCTTTCCCCACCTCCTCCCCCTCAGCCACCGCCTCCTCCTCCACCAGCACCACTCCCTCCGGGGCACCCCGGTCCCTGCAGAGTCCCTGGCCGGCGCCGCCTCTGCTGCGGCCCCCTGAATCCCAAGCCTGCTGCGCCCAAGCTGGTAGGACAGACGGACAGACAGATTCCTCACGTCTAGCGCTCCGCCGCTGCTGCCCCGCGCGGCCCCGCGTCGGGGGAACAGGGATCGCTCCGGGAGCACCGCGAGGGTAAGCGGGCGGGGGCTGGTTCCTAGTGAGAGCTAAAGGCGCCGTTCGGTTATACCAATCTTCACTCTTAACAAAACTCCCAGCGGTGTCCTAGGCCTGGAGAGCGCCTGGGGTGGGTGTACGGGATCTTCCCACCCCACCAACCACGCTTAGCCTCGAGGTCCCAGGGTTGGTGCCTTCGCGACTCTTGACCCGGCTCGTTCGCTTGGGAGTTGAGACCCGGAGCTGCCTACCCTGCCGGAGCAGTCGGTTTCCAATTCGCTCCCGCTCTCGCCCCACGGTCTCTAGCGTTTTCTGTTTGGGAGGGTGTTCACCTTCCCCGAAACAATTCCTTCTGGAATATCTGGGACCTGCAGTCCAAGGTTAGGGGAGAGCCTGATGTGGTGCTACTGTACTATTGCGGTTCTGTCGTAGCTATCTTTGTTAGTGTGGCCAATGTTATTATTATGGATGCTATTATTTTTATTATTTTTTCTATTATTATTCTGCCATCTGTTGTCCCACGGTCAGTTTGCTGTGCAAACCCAGTGCAACTAGGGACTGCGGATAGCATCTCCGGTCCCAAGCCGTGTCCGCATTTTCGAGCTCGCCTTTGGTTTTGGGATGATTTTAGGGCCGAGTTCCCTCGTCCCCATTGGCTCGCGCGGCGGCATAATTATGATTACATCCCCAGGCTGCTGGCGCTGCTCTCTGTTTATTGGTGGTTAAAGATCTATTATCTATTCATCAGCCGCCTCTTTTTTCTTTCTTTTTTTTTTTTTTCCAATTACATTCTTCTAAAGTGAGGTACCAGCAGGTATTTTGCACTTTTACAATTAATGATTAAAAAAAAATCCTAGCGTCCTTTAAATCTGTTACTCCCAGGCCCCTGTCATTTCTCCTAAGAACGCAGAAATGCCTGTATTTGGTGACTAGGTTGCCATGAGACCTGGGAGAGAAGTCGATGGGAAGGGGAAAAAGAGTGAAGTCCACCGTGAGCGAGGCTGCACCACCACCAGACGCATAGTTGAGGGGCCAGGTCTCAGGACAAGCTACCTGCTTCCTCCCTTGATTTCATCTGCTCTGTATTTACGTCTGCGTCAATTACTCTTTTATTTCAGATATAATGTTGTGTTGGGGAAGGTGTCCAAAAACCTCTTTTGGGAAATCAGGCAAGAGAGGTGTTGGGAGCAGTGCTTTCCGGAGTTGTCAAGGCACCAGACAGATTCCTGGGGAACCGGCAGAGATCATCTTTGTTGCCCCGCCTCACACCTTCCCTGGGAACACACATACATATATTTGCACATGAGACAGATGTGAGCCTCAGCTTTGCCCTCACAGTGGGAGACACCTGCTTCTCCCCGAGGCTTTGAAGCTCTGGGATGGGGTCCTGGCCCAGTGTTGTCCCTCTGTCAGTTCCCGGAGGCTTTCCTTTCTCCTTTCTCCTCCTCCCTTTTTTCGAGGCCCAAAGATTCTGGGCTTTGGATCCAGCTCTTGGGGTAGGGGTGCATTTAAAGATGCACCTCCCTTGGGCCTGAACCACTGTCCCCCAAAATATTGTCTACAGCTCAGAAATCCCTCCCTCAATTAGGCTGTGGGGTTAGAGGCCCCTCCTCTCCTAGACCAGCAGGGAGCCTAAAGCCAAGGCAGAGGGTGGAGGTCTTTTGGCTGTGCCCAGCCAGTAAGCCCAGGGTGAAGCTAGAGGTCAGCCCTCAGGTTTTTGAAGTTGGAAACAAACACTCAGCTTAGGCAGACTGTGGATCCTGAATCCTGGCAAGCAGGAGAGTGCACATTTCATGAGAGCTTCAGGAGGAGGACTGGAGGGCCAGAATCTGGTAGTGCCCTCAGGCCAGACCCTCCAAACACAGGCTGAGACTCGAGGGTTGCAAACCGGAGCCGCTGAAAGCTCCACCCTTAGTGATCTTAGGTGGGGGCATAAAAGCCATTGACTTTGAGGGCAAGGGGAATCCAGTGTGTCTTGGAAATAGGGTGAGACCCAGGTGGTGTGTGATGTGTAAGGGTAATGGGTGCTTTCCCTCTTTTAAAAACTTGCAGCCCTGGGCACTAAGGTGCAGTCATTATTCCCTTAACCAAGACAGTGTTGGGCTGGAGACAGGACCCCTCAGCCTTCTGCCCCAGGTGGGACATTTGGCTGCAGCAGAGGGGTAGCCAGCTCCACACTCCCATTCCAGTCAGCCAGGATCCTCTGTAGGCCACCAGCTTTTTACAAACTGCCCTTCTGTGGCCAGGCTTGCCCCAGGGGTTTTAGCTAGCCTACAGGTGGCCAGGAGTAAAGGGGCAGCAGGGTCTGTGATCTGGTGTCCCCCTTCCTGAAGGGAGCAGGGCATGCTAGTCCCTCTGCTCCAGGTGCTGCTAGACCCAAGCTGCATTCCTGCCCCTTGAAGGAGAAGGGGGTTTCCAGTGAGTCTGGAGGTTCGGAAGTCCTGGAAGCTGGGTAATCTATGCTAATTCATGCACTGGGCCTGAGGAGCCCAGGGAGATTCTCAGGGTCTGGCCCCCATGTGCAGGGAAATTAACTAGGATAGCAACTCATTAACCAGGCTGGCCAGTGGAGGTGTGCCAGGGCACTGGGCGCTATGGTCTGGACTGGACCCTGTGCTTCTAGATGGCGCAGCTGCCCTACCACTCAACTTTACTTGTGGATTTGGGCCTTGCAGAATATGGCCCCCTTTGTTCCTTAGTTGCCCAAAGAGTGAGTGTTTGGTTAAGTAGCCCTGCGTACAGCGGGAGATGTGGGGATTTCTGAGGCTCCAGCTTAGAGCAAGCGGCTTCCTTCCCCTGCCCCATGTGTGCCTCTAGCCACTGCTGCCTCTTGGGCTCTGTAGACTCAGGAATGTACCTTTGCAGGCAGCTAGACTAGCACACACATTCAAAGGTTCTAATTCCGAATCTGTCACTGAATGACCTTGGGCAACACGAAAACCTCTCCCGACCTCATTTTGTCATATGTAAAAATACAGCCAGTACTGCCTGGGAGGCAGTGGAGGGGGGGTAGTAGTCAGCTTGTTTTGGAGGATGATAGAACTATTCTACTTCCTGATTTTGGTGTGCTTTACACGACTCTATATGTTTTTCAAAACTCACAGAACTGTACATTACAAAGATTAAGTTTCACTATACGTAATTATACTTTAATGAATCTGCCTTCTTAACTGTGTGACCTTGGGCAAGTTACCTAACCTCTCTGTGCCTCTGTCTTCTCTGAAATGGGACTACATAATAGTACTTTTGCATTGGATTTGTTCAGTGAGATAAACAAAGCAAAGTGCTTAGACGGTGTGTGACACATTATGAACTACAATGAAAGTTCACTCCTGTCCTTGATCCTGCTGTTATTATTACCTACCCACCTCCAAGGCTTGTTACTGGGTTTCAGAGACTGTGAACAATATAACTGTACAAACATCCACTAATGCTGGTCTCACACTCCTGCCACACTCCTCTGTGCTCCCCAAAAAGCTGACAGCTTCTCTAGGGAGATGTTGGGGTGATCCAGGCCTGGAGTCCTGGCTCCTTGGTTGGTATCAAAGGGCAGAAACTCCAAGGGATCTCTGATAAGCATCTGCTTGGAGTTTCCTGCAAGGCCCCCCGGGGCTTCAAAGCAGCAAATGGCAGGGCTTCACCACGGCTGTGCTCCGTGCCAGGCCTGTGAGGTACCAGGGATGGGTGCATGGCCTCCTGCATCTGAGAATAGGTGTGTGGGAGCTATCTGGGGTCGCCACCAGTGTGACTTTCACTTTCTTGAGCCATGGTTGACTCATCTGTGAAAAGGAAATAGCAATATGTTAATAGTTGTTGAGAGAAGTGAGTGAGCTAATGTTTAGCACACTGTTCGCGTTCATCACATTTTTGTTATTGCTAGGCCTTGGCCTTGTACGGTCCAATCTACTCGCTGCACTCTGCCATGTCTTGGTCCCTGGTCGCCGAGCTTTGGGTCCTCATGTTGAGCCAGCACACTGAGCCCGCATTGTGCTCCCGCGGCGCAGCGCGGACCGCACGGACGCAGGTGAAGGGCAAGCCTCTTCCCCGCTGCCCGAGGCGCGCTAATGGTGTCCCAAGTTGGGGAGGCCTCCCAGGCGTTAAGAATTCCTCCAACCCATTGAAATTTCCAGTCACACCTGCCTCTCCGAATGCGTAGGGTGGCGATGTGAAAACGAAAAGTATAATTAATGCCTTTAAAACATTTTTTTAAAATTATTACGACAAATCCCTTTCTGGCGTCTTCCCCAGAGGCCTCTCTCCAGGCGGGCGCGGTGGCCCGGGGCTCCGATCGGTGTGCGCGCAGCGGCGCCTAGTGGCGAGGGCCGCGCGCGGGCGCTGTACCAACCGAGGCTGGATCCCGAACGCCTGGGGAGCGCTTGGGTCGGGTCGCGCCGCAGTGCGGAGACCGCCATCCAGGCCTGCAGAGGAGGTCTAAGGAGGCTCACTGGCTTCGGAGGAGTGCGGACGGCTTGGAAGTGCGTCCCTCCTGCCTTTATCAGCTCCAGCTCTTGTCTTGAGAGTTCATCATCCACGCTGGAATTCCAGGTCCATTAGGAGTAGGGCTTCCTTCCGAAGGGGGCGCAGAGCGGATCCGGGGTGGGACAGGTTCTGCTCCATGAAGAACTAGGAAACAGTGATCACCTGTGCCAAAGAGACGGCCAGCGACTGCGCAAACGCGGCCACAGTTCCAAGCCTGAGGTCCCATATTTCCGACCCGGGTGGTTCAGAGAACAAGCCTGGGACGGCCTGCGCGGGCCCAGCCTGGGGTGGAGTTGGAAGAGCTGGGGTCCCAGGGTGCGACTCTCCCAGATCCGCGCCCCCTCGCGGCCGGCTGACGACGCTGGACACAGGGGGTCCTTGGTTTTGGCAGAAGTGGCAATTGATTACCCCAAACTCCGAGCAGCGCATGTTGGGCCGCCGCGGCTGGCCTCTGATGACCTCGCCCATTCCTCCCGGAGCGCGCGGACCCCATCCGTCCAGGGGCAGCCTGGCTTCTCCGGTGATGTGTGGCCGTGGAA